GGCCGGGGCCACGTCCGCGCCATCGACAACGAGTACACCCCGCTCTGACGGGCACCGCGACGCACTTTCGGGTGGAGAAATCCTACAGACCTTGGGGGTATCCCATCGAGAGAAAGAATGTACCTAGTTCTGGTTAAGGATGATTATTGTATTTTTGCAAGGAAGGGGGTAATTTTTCACTCCGGTACGGGTGTGCTCCCTCCCTTTGGCCTGTTAAAGGGCCTTTTTTAAAAAATTTTTGTTGTTATTACTGAAGCTTTCTGGTTACTGTTTACACGCGCCGTTCCTGCCTACGTGCCCAGCATTGGGCTCAGGCTCCTGCCTGTCCCCGACACGACAGCGCCCGGCGAAGGATCCGGGGTCTGGCGTTACGCTCATAGCATTGGAGAAAGATTTAAAAAAAGGAGAAAAGGAAGAAAAAAGAGAAAGTTTATTATCAATTCGTCGACCAGTTGCTGCTCTGGGCCATGCAGGCGAAGCCGAGCCCCGTCCTCCCGCCTCGGCCTGTGCCAAGACGACGCTCGCCAGCAGAGTTTGGGCTTTCTTTTCAGATAAGACAAAAACCTGGCTTTTCTCCTTCTTTAAACCAAGCACAGCTGCAGCCGTGCCCAGCACCAGCCAGAGCAATAGTTACGCCGTCAGCCTTGCTCATTAAGGCGTGAACACTAACTAACTGCACCATCGCTATTAACGCTGCTAGCTGAGAACTAACGCTGAGACTGACAGCGAAGCCTCCTCCTGGTGATGGAGGCGTTTCATCCCAGTGATGAAGGTGTTTTATCCCAATGATGAAGAGGTTTTTATCCCCATGATGGAAGCATTTTAGGCACAGATCTAAAGTGAGTTTTCCCCTCATTTTATTTATTTTGTAACCTCACCAGCACAGCGCATCCCGCTCCCGTTTTCAGGCTCCGCAGCCATCGATGCGGTCGAGCCCCGGTGCTGCGGCCGCGCCGGGAGAGGAACCGCTTCGTGGAAGCTGGCGTTATTTTTAGAATAAGGAAGGGGCCGGGGCGGTTGCGCCACGCGGGAGGGGATGTTCACGGCGCTCAACTTCCAGATTTCTCAGCGCGGCGCTCCCCGGGATGTCGGATGCAAAACTCGCCTTGAAATTGCCCAACAGGAAGGCCTTTTATTTTTATTTTCCTTGAAACAGCACTAGAGGTGGGAGTCCTCAGGGAGCGTTAACGTTTAGGAATTCATTTGCAAACCAGCAAACAAAAAAGCCTCATGGGGGCTGAGTTAGTGAATATTGCAAAAAAAGAAACAGCCCCGTCACCTCTTTCCTCTGTTTAAAATGACTTGAAAAATCCTGTATTTTGGTAGGGATCGGTGTTTCCCAGCACACACCAGCGCACAGTCCCGAAACCGGAGCGTTAGGAGCAAATGCAGTGTTGTCTGCTGCCAAAGCCGGCGAGACAAAGCCAGCCCTGTCCTCGGCCGCAGCCTCTCGCCCGGATCCGCATCCCTGTTTCCTCCCCGGAGCAGCACAAAGGCTGCGGTGATGGCAGAAGCGCACAGCGGGGCCGGGGCGCGCCAGGAGCCCTTCCTAAATCTCTCCCCATTTTTATAGGGATGAAGGAGGGGAGGAAGCAAAGCACAAGTGGTCGGCGCCTTCCCCTGCTCGGTGCGTGGGTCCTGGAGCACGCACGCCTTGTAAAACACTTGCACATGCCGAGCCTTGCTCAGGTTCAAAAAAAATCCTGTATTTTTATTGTATTTTTTCAGTCCTGCTGAGCTCCAGGCAGCCACATTCAAAGTGGTTTTGGCTTTTCCCCCACCCCCCCAAAAAAAGTGAGGTGATCTCTCCCCAATCACCCCAGGCTCAAAGCATCTGCAACAAAGCCCATGCTGGGATTGCTGTACCCAGCCAGAGAAATCGGATGCTGCTGCCGGCACGGGGCGGTTGTTGGAGTGCCAACAACTGAACACGCACACACGTGTGGTGTTTTTAACCTGCAGTTTAATTGCAAGGGGTTTCTCCGTGGTTTAAATGAAAATTGCTGTGCTCCGTTAGCAAAACGCACATCGGGTTCGTTAGCGCCCCATTGGCCACTTCCCTCATTCTTCTAAACTTGGGGAAAGAGCCTAGGACTTGGCGGGTTTGGCTCCCCAGCCCACGTGTGCTTTTAGCCGCGTTGTATCGATGCTGAGTTCTGGGAGGGGAAGCCAAGGGAAGAGCCCTACAGCCTCCTCCGGGGCTCCCACAGAGGGGAACGAGCGTTTCCAAGAACTGGAATGAAGTCGGAGGTGACTGGCGATGGTCCCAGCTTCTGCCCTGGCCCTGGAGATGGGCACCGACCACAGGAGTTGGGATCCAGCACCACAAACCATGGCCCCACCAGCAGCGACTCCCAGTGCCTTCGCCCGACGCCCACTCCCACAGCCCCAGAGTTGTTTTTGGGAGTAAAGATGAAAACCAGACAGCGCCTTCGCTACCTCGCTGTTTGGGGACAGACCCTCCCTGGTGGCTGTTGCTGTCCTTCCAGGGGTCAGGTTCTGGAGAAGTTCACCACATGAAGCATTATTTAATCTCCTCATCCCTCCCACACCCCAGCAATCCAGGTTACCCAACACTGACACCCCCCTCGCCTCACCGATGGTTTTTTTGCATCGAAACTTTTTGGGGGCAAAGCCTTGAGGAAAAGGTCCAGGGGTGAGGCCAAAGCTTCCCATTTCTTACAGCCTCCGGCCCACTGCTGGCATCCAACCAGCACCGTTTCACTCTAACAAGCATAGAAAAGCTTGACTAACAGGTTTGAGCACAGAATTCCAAATTTTAACCTTATTTTGTTCAATGCAAACAGCCCCAGCCTTCGGCAGCACCTACCGGAGGTGGGGAGGCGACCGCGACCACTCAGCCTTCAGCGGGGTGGTGAAAGCCACCGCTGGTTGGATGAAAAGTGCATTGACCCAAAGTTTCTCTTGTATAGTTTTTTTCTATGTATTGTTTCTGTATGTACTGTACGAGTAACTTATTCTTGAATAATGCAATTTTACCATAATATAAAAAAACAAAATCTGCTCTTAATAAACCGTTTTTAGAACTTGTTTCTCACTTCTCGTCTTTAGTCTGATTCTCTCTCCAGCTGGCCTGGATGTGTGAATTAATGACATCTTTACTGCTCTGCTCACCAGCGAGGATCAACACAGAGACTGCCGCAGTACTGGCATTCCCCTGCCTGTTTTGGGGATGTCAAGCGCTGTCCGTGAAGGGTCGCGCACACAGTGGCTTCCCCACAGCATAACCCAGTTCAACCAGTGCCTGCTGCTGGCAGCCAGCCTCTTCCCGTCTTCTCCCCGGTCATTTTGCTAAGGAACGCTTACCCCAACCTCCTTCTCTTCCTCCAGCAGCAGCACGTCTCGTGTCGTTCAATTGTCCCTTGGGTGACAGCAGCCAGGGCCGAGGCGTTGGGGAACAGACCCGAACACAGCAAAGTCCTTAAAACCTGCACATTTCTGCTCTCAAGACTTGTCATTTATTTTTTGCAACAGCCCTGCAAGGCAAACACGAGGGATTTGGTTCCGTGGCAGGGGAAAACAGGGCAAAGCCAAACCAAACCTTCACTGCAGCGCGGATGAAAGCTGGAGATCAATCCCGGTAAAACAAGACACGAACAGCGAGTAGGTCAGTTTTTAAAACTTTTTTTATTTTTTAATTTTTTTTTTAAGTTTTTATTTTATATTATCTACAAAGTAAAAGTTTTCTTAACTTAAAAGTTACATCACTGTCTCACGATAGTGATTATCTCATCAAACGTGATTTATAAATAATAATTCATCAGTTTGACGATTAGAATTTGTTGGTTTTTTTTTTTTACTGAACCTGTTTCAAGTTTAGTTAGAAGTAAAAGGGATCTCCAAGTCTTGATTTTTAGTGAGAATAGCAGCAAGAATCACTCTTGTTACTTCTTTTGCTAGCTGATGAGTTCGTAACTTTGAAGGGTCATTAAAAAATAAATAACTTCCAGTTTTCAGCAAGCAGAGTTGGGGCACTTGCAGGACTCAGATACAGTGCATGGAATTATGGAATAGCCCACAAGTTCCTAAATGCCTCTACTCAGTCCGAATCTCTCCCACTGCAAGATGAACTGTTAGCATTCCTAGTGGATGTTACAAGAAATCAATCTTTTTTTTTTTTTTTAAACAAAATAAAATGAAATTCTAGTTTTCTGTGCTTCCAGTTGGCAGAAGCAGTAGAAGGAGGGTATTTGGCCTACAAAAGGTATCCAGCCTTTCAGTTATTCCAGATGAGCCTTACAACTGCTGTTGGTGGTGGGCTTGTACTGTAAAGAAAAAGTTCAAAGGTAAATAGTAAATTGGCAAGCCACACAACAGTTTGCTAGTAAAGTGGTCACAGGACAACTACTGAGCTGAACTTTTGCCTCTTTTTCATATATTTCCTTATTTTTTTCCTTTTTTCTAAATGAACAAAACCAAACCCTGCATCTCCAGATGCCCTCTGGATGGTTTTTTTTCCCTACCTAACACCCGCAGTAAGCTTGTTCTGTTCACACATTCCCCAGGAAACAAAACCAGGTAATGACTTCACTACTAAAGTTTCAAGGCTGTTTGGAAATGAATAATAAAGAAACCCAGGTAAGGTTAAATTTAAAGCGGAAAGAAGTCATACACAGCACCTGCTTTTGCCCAAAAGTAAAGCTGCAGAATGTTACTCCGAATTAAAGACTGTCACTTTACTTCAGTCATTAAAGTCTAACAGCCCTACCCCCAAGCGGCGTTTTCACTCCTGTCCTCCAGACCGATCGCGTTAAATGTAATAAACCCCAGATCGTTATAAACAGGCTACACGGTCCATCCCCCACGCAAAACCACCGCACAGCCTGGAAGCACAGTCCCACAGCGCCAGTGTCTGCAGTCACCACTGCTCTAGTACAGCTAGCAACCTCTTTGCTAATTACCTACACCTCGACGCTCATCCGGGCTCGGGCTGGCAAAGTATAAACATGAACTGCAGAAACGGTCTGTCGCTACAAGGACACCTTAAGGTTGTTTTATTTATTGGTAATTTTTTAATTTTGTCGTTCTTTTTTTCCCCCGAATCTGGCTCGTAACGCTTCTCCTCGCTACCACGACCTGGCTCAGTTACGGTGCAGGTCTCCCGGGCACACACGCCTCACCTGAAGGGTGCGTCATATAGGGGAAATGTGTTGTTGTCGAGACTGGAATGGGCTGTAGTGCACTTTGAGCGATGGCGGCTTGGGGACCACCAGGTGGCTGTGTCGTCATTAGCATCATTGGAGCATGGGCAGTTGGGTGAGAAGGAACCATTCCTGACTGTACATGAGCCTGCAACAAAGAGCTCTTTAGTATCAACGGTCACAAGGAGGCACCACTCCTGGCCACGCGACTGGCCACGTTTTTCTCCAGCTCTACCAGTAAATCCGGAGATTTACTCCATTTTCACTAATTAGCTACAGGGATTAAGTCAGAGATCTTAATGCAAAAATAATGGTTTTAAAAATAATAATAATAATAATCATAATCATCATCATGGGGCTCAAGTCCTTACTGCTGGCTCGGAGTCACATGCTCAATTTTAACCATTTGGACAAGGAGCGCTGGGAGAAACGGCCAGCACTGAGCAGTGGGATATTTAACAAAAAATTAAAACCAACCCAAAATTCAGCAACAAATCTTCAAAACATTTGTTAGTAACCTACGTGAACGCACTTCCTGTGCGGGGAATGCACCGGGTACGCGCGCTGGGAGCCTGAAATCCCTTCCTCACCCAACTCCGCCTCTCCCATGGCTCCCTGCCCCAGAACCACCCGCTCCGGAGCCCTGTGCCCACGTTATCCTCCATCTACGCAGCCATTGCGAGATGAGTGATTTATGCTGTTTGTTCTGTTTCCAGTTAAGCTCATCACAGTTACGGTCCTTGTGTAATCTGAGCAATCGTGGTTAAGTCTCAGCGGAAAAAGGAGATTAATCTTTACAATGGCTGATCACCTTCTGGCAAACAAGTTCAGGAACTTGGCTTCTTTAGCTCAGAGCAGGTCATGACTTGAGAGGTCACCCGTTTTTTGGTTTAAAAAGCTGGTAAACACTAGGTTCTTAAAAGCACAAAACATTACGGAACTCTTAGAGCTCTCTGTGGGTTTCTCTTAAAAAAACAATAAAGTTTCTAAGGTTTGCTTTGACTTTCTACCATATCCCATTAACAGAGCACTACGGTGCACTGATTGCAGCCTCACAAATTTCACATGCCAGTAAAGACAGATAGCAGGTAGTGGCTACAATTTTATTTCTTAAAGACAAAAAAGGGTCACTTGACTCATCACAGACATTCCTCAAACTCTTTGTCAGGCTTGCACTGTATTGGTAGCACTCAAGAAGCCTTTCAAGGCAGGAACTGCAATTCAAATCTCACTCTTGCTCTAAAAACAGCTTAGAAGATAAGGCTGCGAAACAGAAACACCTTTCAGGCCCAGCACCATTTTCACTTTGACAAACATGCTATTATAGCAGCCATCACTATAAAGCAGCTATTCATATAGCAGCTGTATTCAACACACAACGTCGGAGAAAAATTCTCTGCTCAAACGCTTTGCAAACTGGCAGCTGACAGTGCTCTGTAATGAATTTTAAAGTACTGCTTCTCAAGTGAGATACCGAACAGCTCAAGATTCAGCTGATAACCTAAAGGGAAATTCGGTTGATCCCCCACGTTCGCCTAACTGGAATTCCTGCGACGTGGTATTTCAGAATCGTGTTCGGGAGTTGGCAATGAGGCTGCTAAGAAACTATTAAACCAGTGATTAGTTTTTCCTCCACATTGGGATAATTACATGCATTTAAAATTTCTTACAGAACCGCAGTTATTCCTTCACTAGAGATTTCTGACGGAACTACTTCATTTTGAAAAGTCAGTTAGCTTGGTATAAATATCACGGATTATAGATTGTAGCTTTCATCCTAAAAAAAATTACAGCAGAAGAGACTGCGCAAGTGTAAAATCCAGGGTAGGGCAGGCTTTGCCTGCGATTGCTAAAAAACCCTGACCCAGCAGTCAGCTCTGACTAAAAGTTGCATCTGATTTGCTTTAACGAGCTTTGCTTATTAAGTGCTTGGCACGCAGAAAGGGAGGCAACGGCCGCGTCCCGCAGCGCAGGCACGGGCCTGGCCGCGACGTGTACAGCACCATCGGTTTTACCTTTAAGCCGACTTTGAAGCAAACATTTTTCACGCTTCACTGAACGTGTTGCTAAGCCAGGAGCTTGCAGCGAGACTCTCCCGAAGGGGGGTGCGTGCAGAGCACCCCGAGAAGCTCCACAACCCAGGCATTCACACCAGAGTGGAGCAAGTGTCTTGTTTGTGGCAAAAAACAGAGCCTGGGAGGACAATGCCACGGGTTTGGACATCCTCTCCTTATCCTCCCGCAGTAAAAACGCAGAGAAATTAAAAGCCTAACAGAATTAAAAAGCTAAAAACTCGACACCAGTAAAACAATCCCTAACTATTAATTTGTTGCATTAACTGACTGTTCAGGGACCAAAGCAAAGATTTTATCAGAATTCTGCAAGGGACTGGACACCCATTAGTCTAACCTCCCTAATTACAGCTAGTCACGATATCCCAAACTACTGTCAACCTGCATGAGAAGGTGTAAGCCAGACACCAAGTACTCACTTGGCAGAAGAAACTGTGCAGGCAAATTACTGATTAATTGTCCATTCCTTGACAAAGCACACTAAATCTGTGAGATTTAGGAAACATCAGAAAATCTTTGTAATGCTGCTTTATGTAATGCAGCTCTTGGTTAATCAATCATAGGCTTCCCTTCCCAAAATCCTTATTTTGGTGAGTTGACAATAAGAGAGCAGTTAAGAGAGGTGGGTTTCTGACGCTGAAGCAAGGACTGTTGTTAAGTTGCCCAACAGTCATGGGGATCTCCTGCATAACCACACACAAGATACACACACACACACACGGTTCTCTTCGGGCAAGGATTGTCTCGCAGCCATCTGAACTGACCCTCACCTATCTCCCATTGCAGTGCATTGCTACTCCCTAGTAATCCGGTGTCGTATCTTTTATTGGATGTAAATGTGACTACAATGCGGAGCCTCAAACTGCCACCAAAAGCAGCAATTCAGCCTTCCTCCCCTCAGCTCCAACCTCTCTGTATGCCAGCTCTTCCTGTGATCATGCAGTGAACCTGAGCAGTGAACTGATTTGATTACGAAATAGCCTAAAAAGGGGGTAGGGGAGGCACGCTTCAGCTGAATCACGTCCCCAGTCTGGTTTGCTGCATGGCCAAAAAGTTCTGTGAGCAGAATGGTGGGGCAGGACAAGGGTGGGAGCCGGGAGCGGGGAAGAGAGCTCAATTTCTTTCAGTAGCAGTGCCACCTTAAGATGTCTTCATTAAACTACAGTTGCAGATGCACTGGATGTTGGAAGCTGAGGTCCAAATCTCTTGTAAAATTCTAAATAAAAGCAATGTACAGACAGAAACCTAAAGAACACAACAGGTAGTCTGTGCTGAGAGGTGACAGAATGGAAATCACTTCAGCAGGCCCGACTGTCCTAACTTTGTGGCATTAAGACATTTAGTCTTGAAGGTTGTTAAACTGTGTTTACCTGGGGGACATGGGCCATATGTGGCGGATTGGTATATGCAGGTTGAACATGGGAGGGATGAATGGTGAAGACTGTTTGTTGTGCTGTAGGAAAACTATTTTGTGGAGACTGCGTGTTGGAGCCTGGCGTCATGGAAGGAGGGGTTGGAGCTAGACCTGCGTGGTAAATTGCCGACTGCTGCTGTGGGTTTGCCAGGTGGAGTGCCTGAGCAGCCTGGTGCTGATGATGCTGCAAAAGACAAACAGAGAGACACAAAATCTTTTAGGCTCTGGTCTAGAAGTGAGACATTTTTGTTCTGTAAACTACAGTAAGAAAGGTTTGCAAAACTGCTCTTGGTCGTACATCTTTTAAGTGGCAAATCTAAGGACCACCACACGTATGGGCATGAGAAAACTCATTTCACTTCCATCAGGTTCATGTTCTCCTTGCACTAGAAATTCATGCAAGGAGGATCCTGGAAAATGGACCCAGGGTGACAGATAAAAGCAAGGAGAGCCCTCAGCCGTGAGGCTGGACATACTTCACAGCCGCACATAGCAGCCCAAAGTTACTACCAGTAGGTAACTAAGGCATGCAGCACTAACACGAGATCTCTTTCATTTTCATCTCCTTGTCTTTGACAAATCAATTGCTTCTCGGCATTTACGTGCTATTTCCAGTTGTAACCACTCATAGTAAAGCTCTGACAAAATTATGATCCTTCCTTAATCGTACCATGGAAACAAGCTATACCTCATCCCCTGGGAAGAGACAGAAATGAATGGTTGGACTAGTGGTCCTTAGTAAGGAAAATGTATTGCCACCAGTTTTCCTGCTAGATTATCTAACAAACTATGCCATGAGTCCTAGGCACTGCAAGCAGAGGAAAATTAAGTTATACAGCTCTACTTCCTTCCTTCCTTCCAGAAAACAGCGAGGAATCTAGACAACTCCTGTATCAGATCTGCCACATGCTGCTCATTTGGGCTACTTCTCCATCTTACCATTCTTCCTCTCAAAGAAATCAATACATCGATGCCAAGCACCAGACTGATGCAATACCTTCCAGCAGAGCGTGTTAAATACAATTTAAAGCCGCTCACTCCCTTGAGCTCTGTTACCTGCACGGGGCTAGGAGCAGGGTGGCTTCCAGCATGTTGGCTTTGCTGCTGGCCAGTTGGCGTGGCAGACGGCTGAGGATGCGGAGGATGTGGATGCAGGGTAGCATTAGGGTGGGCATACTGCTGAGCAAGTGAGCCAGTGGAAACTAGGATGAAAAAGAAGAATATTTAGCAACGGATACAGAACGTGCATCTTACCAAGTCACCATCTGCACTTGAAGATTTCGCTCTACCTCAAACATACTGTAAATATATTCCCTCCCCCTTCTAAAAAAATAGCAATAAAAAAATCATATTTATCTCGCAAATAGCAGAGTATCTTACCTTGCTTTTGTGTAGTTTGGTTTTGCAGGAAAGTCTATAAATAACCATAATTAGACAGTTCATCTTCCCTAGCTTGACAATGTAACAGATACTACATAGAAAAAAGCAGTATTTCATCTTTTGTTTTCTCAAACAGACCAGTTTCAAATCTCAAATTTATCATTGTCATACAATTTAGTTTTTCCTGAACCGTATTTTTCAAAGGTGTTACAAGCCATTTTTATTTCCACCATCCAAAAAAAATTCTTTGGCCTTATACCTGGCTAACCTCACCATGCTACTCTTCTGGAAATTGCTCACAGTACAGTCAGTGTAAAGTACATACACTGCATGTATGCGCAGGAGCTGTAGGGACACACCGTATGTACGTCACAGCTGAGAAAACTAAGGCTGCTGGAGCACCAAATTTCTGCTGAAGCCAGGAGCTTGCACTAAAATAACAAATCTTTCCTCCCCCCTCAAGGGAGTCTATTCTGGATCTCAAGGTTGCCATGAAATTCTGAATTCCTTGAAACGGTAGCAAATGCGGTACAAAATTCCAAACAAGGAAAAAACTTCACACCCAACCCTTTCGCACCAGTGAAACCACAGCTGTTGCTACAGCCATGCCAGTCTCCAACAACAAAGCAGTACCAACACGACCCTCCTCGAGGAGTCCTGCCCCGCTCTGCTTCTCAACGGGCCACGCTCAGCTGCTTTGGTTTGGGTTTGGGTTTTAACTTCTAAGGGAGTCTAAGAAAGTATGAAAAGCCATAATGATAGCAAGTCTTCCTTAAACACAAAGCACGCAACTGGAAAGCAAGACCCTAAGAAAATGAAGATGCTTCGCCTATTTTCCTCTCTGGCTTTCCTGACCCGTGCAACAACCAGCCCGCAGTTTGGGACTACACCTGCACGTGCCAACGGTCTCCGCTCCCTCCACTGTTACACCTTGGCAGGACCCAGGCTGGTTCTGCTGACAGCAGTGCTAAAAGTCAAACAGTCAAAGCAAACCATCAACCTGCTCCCGAATCTGTTCCCTGCAACCATTCCTTATTTGTTCTGGTACCTTTTTGTTGTTCGGACGAGTTAATTACTGCTTACTACCTATGGGGTTCCACCTTTTTAAAATGGGGTTTGCATTACATGAGAACTTGACGGCCAATAAAGCAAACCTTCAGAAGCGATGGGTTTTCTGCTGTGTTTCCTTGTCCCAGTAAATAAACCTGAAAAGCAGCGCACAGGGAGAAACTTGGGATGCGACCACTGTGCTGCACCCACTGCCCGGGCCCTCACAGCTGCTGAGGTGCCTGGGCTCGCTTGCACAAGGAACCGTTTTGCCGCAGCTCCTGAGGAGTTTCACTGTGCTGGGCTCTAAGTTCATGAACACACAGAACTGCTTGAGCGTATGTAAAAAGGGTGAAAGACAAAACGGGTGGAGAAAACGGACAAAAACGGAGCTGCATCTGAAAGCACAATACTCTGCAGCAAAGGCAAGTCTCAAAAGGACAGCACCCCCACTGTGCTCTATTGACCACACTGCTACCCGGTGCAAGCACTTGTTTTCCTCCCGTTTGGTTGGCTATAAAGCTTAGAAATACTAATTCTAAACTAGTCAAACTCACTAGAATACTTTTTTGTCTGACTGAGCCCTCTCTCCACTGTACAGACACGATGCAGGTCTCTCCTCTGCAAAATAACTGCCTGCCACATTTAACTGAATCCCGCCCGGCTGCTTTGAAAGCTCTGCTCTATCTCCACTGAGTAAATGGTCCAGCAGTGACGTGCACAGCAGTTTCAGGCTATTAATGCAGAGGAACTTCATATACATTTGTAACCCTAAATCCTGGCAGTTTGAGTTGATCCTAACATACTTGTGCGCGAGCATGTAAGCGTACAAGCGCACTCATACAATATAAACATTTCTAATGGACGGGGGCTCTGAAAAGTCAGTATTTTCTATGCACCCTGCCAAAACTATCAGTATTTTCTGCCACAGCACTTTGTGATGCTTTCAAATGCAAGAAAATTTGGGGTTTTTTTTCATATCACTACTAAAATTTACTTTGCAGCAGCACCTGAACCACGTTTCTGGTTGACTTCCAACCACGGCTCCTTCCTACGAGGACTACATGAAAATTATAAATGGCAACCCCGCTCATTTTTACAGTATGAAGTTTACAGTTTCCTGCAGTTTCCTTCCTTTCTCTGCCTCATTATTATACAACGCTCTGAAGGAGGCCAGGAGTTATTATCTCTGTCAAAGTAACAGAAATAAATGCGCAGAGGGATTGACTGGTTCGCCAAAGGGCACGCCACCAGAAATCCTCCTCAGCTCCCATCCCACTGCCGCAGCCGCAGAGCTTGCAGCCCTGACTACAAATTAACTTCACCTCCATTCAAGAGGTTTTATAACGGATATGAAATTTAATTCTGAGTTGGGAGATATTCAAGGCTTCCCACATCCTGCCGCATTACTTGTTAAAGAGCCCCCAAAATAATGTGGTACTCCCTTAAACCATTTGTGCAATTCATCTTTCATTTCTTCACAGCCAAGAGAATAATAAGCTAAGTTATTCTGAAGCAGATGCATTATACAATAAAGCTCACAATGAAGAATTTCTCTCTTAAGAAATCACTTAAAGCGAGGAATTGCACCCTCAAGAACAGATACAGAAGCCAGGGGAGGATCAAGTTTTGTCACAGCAGCAGCTCTTCCATAACCTTCTAATATCTTTCATCCATAACTTTGCATTTAAAGCACCACATTTTTATACTGAAGATTTTCTATTTGCCCAGCTTCTCCTCTTCCCCATTTTGTCTTTAACGAATCACTCTAATAAGTTGTACAAGTTTGGTTAAAACTAGTTCAGATGCTGCTGCAAATTAGGTTTTAATAGTAATATTCAAAGTCTTTTTTAAAAAAAAAAGCCATATGGACACTTATCTAAATCCTGTACGGATAGGGCAGAACAGCTCAGGATGAGTCTGAAATATGTGCACAGATCTTTTGATAGTTCAAACTTCAACTCGAGAAATGTAAAAGGATCTTCCACGTTGAGCTGCTGCAATTAATAGTTGCTGACAAACCAACGACATCTATGAGACCAGCAGACCTGTGAGAAAAGCCTTGCAAAACAGCCATGAGAAATCCACCTCCGCAGCCGTAACCAAAGCGCCTGCACTGTGACTTTTTGCCTGTTCACCACAACAGCTCACTGCACGTAGCAAACAGCAAACGAGATAAGACAGGAGGTTGGGAAAAAAGGGGGAAAAAAGGCCAATTATCCACCACTTTCCCCCCCTGACAGGGCTTTGGAGATTTTCCAAACGGCCGTGCTGAGAAAACTCCAGGAAAGAGCAAAACAGCTCTGCGTGTCTCCTTGCTGCCAGTAACCTCGGCTCGTTCCAGCAGAAATACACTGCTTTTCTCAGCCTTTATGCCTTAGGAAATGCCCCCTGTGCTAACCTGCTTCCTTTCAGCAGCATCTTCATCAGGTTGTTTCCATTTACACGTAACATTTAACTGCACTAACCTGGCAGGGATACACAGTGAAGATAAGGGATTCGGGAATGAAGTGAGCAAAACCAGCGGAGGGATTGAATTACTGAATTCAACTCTACAGAAGTGCAACCCATTTTCCTGAGAGGCAAACAAGCAGCAGTCAGCCACCAAACCCACAGGAGGAGCTGGAATCAAAAGAGGTCAGAGCAGCAGAAATCAAGCAGAATTCTCCCAGCTACGAGGGTGAATGCAAAAAACCATGTAATGTAATTTCATCTTTTCCCTGGTCGGAATTTCAATGCTGCCAATGGCGGTCATCGCTGGTCATCGTCCAAAGATGCACTGAAGAGCCTATTTTCAAGAACTGACCAGTTCTTCAAAACTATTGCCAGACCCAGTAAGATGGTGAGGATAACTACATTTAAAAGACCTGAATGGTAGGAAGCAAAGAAATAGCAAATGTTTCTTTCATAACACAAACATTTAAAGAAGTCATTTTACACAGGTAGAGTGGACTTCACTTAAAAGTTAATCCGCGAAAGGAACGAGCTTATTAAAGTCATTTCGGTGCACCAAACCAAGACGCGTGAAAACAGGACAGGTCGGCATCCTACGCCGCCAGCTCACGCAGAACCGGCTCTGTACAAGAAACACAGGAAGTCTGCTCCAAAGAGATTTTTGGAGAACCAGTGGCATTGCTCACATCCTTCTTGCATGAGCTAACTCAAAACAGCCCAGAAGAGCGCCTGGCATAGGCTGCATGGACTTACAGACTGATACAGCAATGAGACTCGGTGCAGGAGGAGCATGTTCGGAAATAGCCAGAAAATGCAGTCCTCCTCTCAGTTCATCCTGGAACCACCCTATTTCCCCCAAAACCAGCTTCCTCCAAGTGCTACCCCAGCACACAAGGCAGGCTTTTTTATCTGCCTTTCCCTGTATTAGTCTGTATTGGCCACATAACTGGTGCCATCCATCCGCCAAGGATGCCACGCATCGGCAAGGAGCCCTCATCTCATCGCCCTCTTTATAATAACGACGACTTCAGCGACACTGCAGTAACTCCATAAAAAGCTTCCTTCACCTCGGCTGCAACTCAAGTTCTCTTCTCCTGGGGTCACAGATTTTTCAAGAGATGAGGCACAAGATACTTCTCTTTTTAGGAGCCGATTAAGTTTTAAAATCCCATTTGAGCCGTGGAAGACAGGGAGTGAGGGTTCACCAAGGTTTTAAGCAGAGGCTGTCCCTGTGCAGCGCTCGCTTCTGGTTCAGAGGAAAAGACTGGGTAGTAAAGTTAGAGATTATTGGGCATACAAAATACATTTTAAAAGACCGAAAAATCAGCTTCCCGTGGTCATAGAAATCTGTTTGATAGCTTCATTCCTGTGCCCATAGAAAGGAGCCTTCCTACGTTTTCCACATACTGGTTTGGTGCAAGGAAACTTGTTCCCTCAACACGTCCCATTCCTTTAACATCTGTTCTTTAGAAAGTTCTTTGCTGTACAATCAAAATTAGTACAAAAAACCCAACTCACTGGCAAAGTAGAAAGAAGGGCCTGTCTCCTTGCTGTATGGTATTTTGGGACATGCTGAATTTGGGAAATAGAAAGGTAAATTAGCCTCTTGCCACGTGCATACTTCCCGTCTTCTGGAAAGGTCAGCATCATTCTTTTTTTTAAGATTGCAGAACCATGCAGATATGTTTATTTACTTAGGTGCTATTAGAGCTGGATATTTAGTTTCACAAATGAGTGGAGATGAAATAACACAAGTTTCAGGTAAGCCTTCCCTTCTGAACTGTGACGCTGAGGTCTTCAGTTTGTAATGAGCACAAAAAGAAACTTTATGACAATTAATGGTCTATTACAATGGACTGTAATCAGAAGGTTAAAATGTAATTACATTAAAACAGAAATTGGCCCCTTGCTTTTTCAGCTCTATCACTGCCATTAGCAGTTCCAAGACACCTTTGGTGACTGGATCACTCTTAGTCCCTGGAGCATCCTCTGCAGTTTATATTATATCCACCATTGTACTATCAGGGTAATAGAATTTACTCTACTGCTGAGACAGAAACCAGATAAAGTTAGAGACAACACCAGACCAGCAAAACATATGCAGGAGGGGAAAAGGGAAGGGAGAACGGGGACAGGAATGAGCACAGAACACAGGAAATGCATCTGTATAAAACCAAGGTCTGGTTTTACACGAGTTTGTTTTCAACACAAAAGTAAAGCTTTTCAGAGGACTCCAGTGATCCGAAAACACAGGCAATACAGCTACACGGTGAAACTAGCACAAGTTCATCGTCACAGGCATGAAAATATCCACCTTCTGCTCAGGTAACCACATTTTCCACTGACAGCACAAGACAAGCTGAGGTCTTTGTGCGGTCTGGGTCAAACCGCAAGCCGCGGGCAGCAAACTCTACAGCCCAGTGGTACCTGGACTGGGGAGACTGCACAGAGCCAACGCTTTGGGATTGATGTGCTCTGAAACCAGCGTGAGGTTCAGTGGGGCAAGAGCAACAACTCCACGTTCAGGTATGTGCGTGTGGCAGTGCCTGCACTGCAAACTCCCCTTGTAAGGACATTTAAGCGGTTCATGTCTCCAGAAGTTACGAGCTGAAGTGTGTAACAGACGGGACGAAAGACATTTGCTTGGACACCATCCTTCTCAATTGTGTTTTGAGGGGAAAAACCCAATGATTTCAACACTCCTCCGTCATACATTCAGGTGGGTCTAGTGGTGCTCTGCATCTCTTGCGCTCTTGGCAACAGCAGGTTGGGGAACAGGAGCAGGACACGGTAACCACTGGCAAGGACATCCCAGAAGTGCAGGAACAGCCCATTAAACAGCATCAGACTAAAAGACTTTCCTTGCACATGGAAGAGTGTTTATCAGCAAGTGTAGGTCACTGTATGTATTTCGGATTCGGCTGTCTCTCCACAAGACAGGAAGGAAAACAACCCCCAGATTTTGGCAGTGAGGGCAGTTCACTGAATGGACCAACAGGCATTTCTCTTCGCTGGCAGGCACGCACTACTCGCCACGGACTTTTAACTTGTCCCAGACCATGAGTGAAGATGGAGTTTCAGATCTCACCAGAGAACATTTCACACCTTAAGAACACTTCGTAAGCAGTGCCCCCCAACCCCCACGTCTCAGCGCAGTTGTCCATGCAGACTTCTTCTGTCTAGCACATATGCAGGAAAAAAACTGAGTGAATTTTCCAAGAATCATCTCAGAGAAAGCTCTAATACCTTGAAGGATAAAAGGGCAGGATGGCCCACTGAATCCTGGTCTCAGCAAGGAGGAAAATTAATTTTAAAATAATATTTTGTTTAAAAAAAAAATCACATTTTCAAGAGCCAAAAGTAAATCTGAGAACTTGTTTGATCAAGTGCTCCAGGAATCAAAAGCAGCCGCGGTTGTTGTTTCTCAGGAAGTTGTTACTCTCTAATTTCAAATTTGTTTTAAGAGAGGACCAGAATCAAAGTGCATTGGTACATTTAGTTCAAAGGTACTGCGGGTAAACTTCAGACTCCCAAAATACAGCACACCAGTTACGGACACTTCCTCATAGTCTCTCCATCAGATGCGAATGTCTCCAGCACGTTGTTCATTAGCAATGTACTCTGTAAGCAGCTGATATTTATCACCTTATCTACACTTTTCCCAAGCGTTCCCACATCAACAAATGGAAGCTGAAGTGGACAAGTTACAGGCACACTCGGAGGAAACACAGTCCGTCTAGGCACGGTCTTCAAGTACTCCTCACATGGAAGACTTGCAAAAATCTGCATCGAGACAGCGCTGCACTACATCAGAAATCATTTCATGTGCAGTTAACTATAAAATTTGTAAGTTAAGGGTAAATTTGAGACAATTCGCTCTCACTAGGCAATGCACACAGCAAGACATACTCTTAAAAATCAAAGTGTCTCACATGGAGTTCACGATCCATCGGGGTTGAATGGTTTCAATAACAAGGATTTCAAGCACTTGATCATTTACTGGGAAGGTGGGAGAATATTTGCAAGTAGCTACTTGAAAGAACTGAGGACATGCAATTTCTGGTAAATTAGGTGCTCTTGGAAAAGTTACATTTAATTACACGGCAGGAAATACCAAAGAATTCTCAAGTATGACCCGACTTAGTTGTTTGCAGTGGTAGGCAGTCACATACCTACACCAGACAAGCTGCAAAACCAACCCGAAATGCGATCTAACAGTTGGAAGGTAGAATATCCGTGGAAAAACTAGACAGGAATCTGATCAAAGCCAACCAAGGGAACGGGCTGGGACTTCAGTGCTGCAGAGGCCACTGGTCACAGCAGATAAGGGTGGTGCACCATGGGAGATTGCTAGGAAGTCACATGCAACCATTCTGAACCAAATCTCAGATTATCTCATGTCTGGTTTTATTTTAATTAGGATTTGAGAGGAGAGTTTTCACCAATAAAGGTCCGCAAGCCTTTGATCGTTCGCTTTATGGGAATTCTATTTAATCTGATGGAAAGGCAAACAGAAGATCTGTTTACATGGACACCTCAAACACAGGAGTTGAAAAGATCAAAGTAATACAATTAGCAAGGACCTGTGGGAGAAGGACTTAATCTCTACGAGTAACTTCCATTTCAGCTGCAGCACAAATGAGCTGAAATGCTCTTCCTCCAAGTGTCAAAAAAGGTTTCTCTCTATTAATTTTGTTTCTTAGCTATGTTACCACACTACTGCAGAGATCTGACAGGATGTTTTCAGCTGGGTAAGACACAGACTTTAAAACCATCAGAATTAATTTCACACTAAACTTCAGATTCTCAGCCTTGTAAATGTTCATGACACATCGTGGACTTCCATTAAGTAGCAGCGTACAACTGAGCACCGGAAAACATACAAAGATGTCTACAGGTACAGAAAATCTTTTATTAGAATCTAAGTCAATAATATACGTGACCCAATTAAAGTCTTCCTCAGATGCTGTAACAAGTATTGAAATGCCACGTTTCCAAGAGACCATCTGCTGGTTTTGACATTTTATGACAATTTCCCAGCCTTCTAGCAACCTTGATTCTACCTCTTCCAAAAGCATGTTTTGCAGGGAGTTTTTTCCTCTGAATTGGGCATAGATCAATCATACATTCACAACACTTTAGAAGTTCTTTCACATTTTACTTGGTAACAAGGTAACCCACATTTTCAGCACTTCACTGTAAGTGAAATATGCCCATCTGATAATGCTAGAGACTAATGTCAAAGTCAGAGCAATACACGAGCCGTTTTACGAACTTATTCTTGACTTATTCTTACCAAAAAGGAAAGGTAAGCAACACATTTTATTTTGCTTAAACAGCAGTGTTCATACTGTTAATAACGCTAGTAGTACCATAAAGACAGCATTTCACTAGTTGTCAGAACTAAAGTCAAGTTTTGAAACTGAGGTCAGAGCCTTGCAATCAAACAAGTCCTAATTATAATCAAGAAACAATCAAGGGATGTTGTGTCAAGAGCATCAAGAGAACGTGAACCAACTTCTTTCAGCAGATATTCTTTAGCGGCTCCCAGGTTGCAATCTCATCTTGGTCACTGGCATCCTACTGAAATCAGCACACTTGAGTTGTCATTTTAACCCGGTGCCTCAGTTTTCAAGGCTCTGCTCATCACCTTACGAAATATAAACCACATCTACGGGTGTAATCTGAACGATACCCACGTCTGAAGCTTGAGATTAAATACATCCCTGCACAACTTAAGAACTTAAAAAGTTACATATAACACAAAACGTTTCCTACCATACATAGCATGCGTCTGTTCATGCGCACCATACTGTGTTGCAGAAGAAGATACTAAACCAGGCTGTGCGTGTGTTGGTGGTGCCATCATCCTAGCGTTGCCCTGTATTACAGGGCTATAAACATGAGGATGCTGCAGTCAACAGAAATAAGAAAACACACAGTTAATTCGAGGACTATCACAAAGAAATTAGTGTCATCTAAACAAAAATTATGCACTTAGAAACACTCGTTGCTTGGCCTTACTAAAATACAGAGCAAACTACTACTGCAATTATCCCAACTGTTTCTAAAAATATAAGGGCATTTTCTGCAGAGGGCTAGAAACTGAAAAACCATTGGCATACCTAATTTTTGCCACTCTAATAATGTGTGTAATTATATATGTATCTAATTACATATGTATATTTAAAAGCCTTTGAAGTAAGAGGAGAACACCCAATAGTTTATCTGTTCAACACATAACTAAGAAACGTCCCGGCTATGACCTGAAAGGAATTCTTCTAAGAGCTAAAAAGGCAGTATCAATAATAAATGCCAACTTCTAAATGGACCTTAAAATTGATTACAGCCTTTGAAGCGCATTACGCCACCACCAAACACGCTCCAGAAGGCAGAAACCGCTCAGCGACCTCTCACGACCGGAGACAACAGGGTATTTAGGACTGAGGCACTTCTTATTTCTGCTTTGCCTCAGCACGTACACTGAAAGGGCTCTTACCTGAGATTGGTAGTGTGGCACATGCTGCACAAGAGGCTGATTAGGAAACTGTTGGGGACTATATGCAACATATTGTGTCGAATAAGCAGGTGGCGTAGCTACAATCGGAGGGCCTGCGGCTGAGGCAGGATGCATCATGGTGCTCTGATGATGTTGGTCTTGCCGTTGCTGCGGCATATTTGGTACTACAAAGCAAAGAGTGCCTCACGTTAGACACGCAGGACGAAGAAAGACGATCTTCCTGACAGGTTTTACGTTACAACATCACTGTGACCAAGTGCAATATCCTCACCCCTCACCTTTAACCACGTTAGAGCTCTATCAAAATGGAACAGCACAAAAAAGGAGTTCCTCCAAGAAACATCTGATTGTCATCACTGCCTTTGGGCCACGAATACGGCCACAAATCCAGGCCTGCTTTCTTTGTGAAGGAAGGAAGAAAGGTGGAGGGAGAAAAAGACTGACAAGACTCAGTAATGGAAGAGAAAGGTTATATCAGGATACCTACATTAATCAAATTTGATCCCGTCCCCTTCAAAAGGCTTAATTCCCCTCTATGGGAACTGCTCAGCAACTGTTCCATCAACTGGAAAGCTGAGTCTGTTAAAATTACTTGCGCTTATGGCTGAGGAGAGCAGAATAAAGGTCTCTGCACAGCCACAATTTGAGGTATTCACATATTTTAAGCTCTGCACTGCCCCTCAGGATAGCAGAAAACAACTTTTAGGTCACAGTCAACACTTAAGAGGACAAGTCAACCTATAAGAAGAGGAGTAGGAATAGTTAGAGGAAAGAAAGATGAAGAGAGCACAGGTTGGCAGTGTGGGACTACCTGAGCTATGCTGGAAAGACGACTCAGAACAAATTAATTGAGCCTAAAAAGCAACAGGGCGTGAGAGTTCGAGGTGAGCTCCAGCTTGCTGCAGTGGGACTGCAACCAATAACCATGCTAACTCAAGCACCTGTGAACTCCACTGCAGTGTGCAATGCAGACAGAGCCCTTAGAGAAAGGAGGGCAACGTTGAAGATGTCAGTAAATTCACACAGTGGTGATGGTATTTACACTGCAGATCAACAACAGAAACAAGGAAATACAGGATGCGACTTGAACAGCGGAAAGGCGCTGAACTTGAAACCTGTGCAGCTCCTTCAGGACTATGCTGTGCACAGCACAGATACACAGAAAATAATGAAACTTAAGAAAGGAATTCAGAACAGGACAGCAGGCTCACACAGAAGGCGAGTACACAGCAATATATTTCTGATTAAAACAATCAGTGTCACCAACACAAAGATTTCATGGGTCAGGCGACAGTAAAGTTAGTGTGTTTTAAAACAGAAATACATTGCAGGGTTTTGTCTTCCCTACGTTCATAAAGGCTACTTGTTTACTTCCAAACAGCAGAACTGCTCTTTTAAACAATTTCCTCCTCCAGTGACTGGAGCTGCAGCACTGGAACCTACCATTGTGAACCACTGTATAAAGCTGCAAGAAAGCATGCACTGTGTAGAACTGGAGCATTATACGAAACAGGACTATAAAAACAAGACGATCATTTTTCTGCTCCTTCACTGCACTGCACAGCAGAGAGTCCATGTTCTCCTCTCCATAGCCACAGGTGTCACTTGTTAAAAACATGGGATTGTTAATCCAGCTGTTCAGGACTGCAGCAGAAGGAATGCAAAAGAACAAACTGGAGCCAGCAGTAAGTTCTTCCCAGAAGAGCAGCATACCATACTCTTCCTGAAGAAACAGCAATTTTTGCTTGTTGACAAAAAAAATCTCTGTTAAAGAACCATTCAGGGCTCTGCAGTAAACCAGCACAGAAAACTCCCTTTCAATAAACCCGTAACATTTCTGAAATGTAGAAGACAACCAGCTCACCCTAACGCTCCAAGTAACAGAGGTGTTTTCCCAGCTGTCAAACCAGATTCCAAACTCCCCATTACTTAAACTTATCTTGTTTTGGCTGCACTAGTTTATCTAGAAATACATTAGTATTTCCGCTTCTCTTTATTAAAAATAGCATTTAAAATAGCAATCAAAACAAATTTACATGGATTAGAAAACACACAAACATTTGTCATTTATTCATGCTGCATGCAGACTAAGAACCAAACAGGCAGTATTATTCTCACCTTTACCTGCTCTATATGTCTTGGCTTGGTTCACTGGCATGGGCGTCATGGGAATAGGATACAAAGGCTGAAACAGAAGAAGTTGAAGTTATGATATTCCTGTAAAAAGTGAGTGTGTGTCTGGGTGGGAGCCCCACTCAGCTTTCACATATTTCACTCTGTTATGTTACACAGTTTAGTGAACTCTGCCTAACCTATGGGATTTTCTTGGATCACTGTGTTTAAGTCTGCACGTACAAAAAACTAAGGCCATATGGTTTGCAACAACCAGTCGAGCAATGGCACTGCTGCTGCTTCAAACAGTGTACTAAATCAGACAGCTTTACAACAGCATATAACAGTAAATAACAGTAATACCTACAACCACCAGAAACTAGTGGGATGCAGCTGTATGAAGAAACAACTGCTTAAAATTTAAGAAAGTACAACTATGCTTGGAGGAGTGGCGAGAAAGCCTCCACAGACTGACAGTGAGTAAAAGCTGCTGGAATTTACAAGTGTTTGAGACTTAGCACATCTAAGTTGAGGGACAACAGGGAAAAGACAGTATTTACATAGCTAAAACTGAACAACAATGTAATTGTGCCCATATTTACAAGCTGCACCACTTCACTGTTTGAACTTAGATCTCCTGAGTCTCCTCAGCTTGCTGACAATCACCCAAAAAGTGTGAACAAGCTTTACCTGCACGCCTGGACTCACTGGAACCGGGTACATCATATTTGGTGCAAAACAAACAGGCTGAGTGTACACTGGGGTTGGCTGCTGATGACCCACCATGGAGGGGCTGGGCTGAGCTTGCGGACGAGGGGAGGTCGGTGTAGTAGAAGGTTTCGGCTACAAAGAGAAGTCAGCAAGGCATATGCAAGATTAGCTTGATTATCTGCCAAGAAAAAGGTTTGCTTATAAAGATCTAATCAAGAGGCAATGTTGAACAGTATCAAAGTAACTTACTTGAGCAAAAGATCGAGGGTTGAACTCTTTCGCATTAGGATTAAGTGTTGATTTTCTAACTTGCCTAAACATAAAGAACAAAAAACTCTGTTCAGCTTGATTCTTTTACAAGCCTATCTGCAGAATCCCCTAACAATTATAAATTTAAAGAGATTAAATACCTCATTTCCATCCATGAGTCTGATGATTGAGAACTCAAGCAACACACGGCATGCAAAAAGCCACTCATACTGACAGTTCTCCTACTATACTTAACCATGAAAGTTTTCCTGCTGTGGGTACTACAGCTCACATAAGCCAGGAAAACATTTAAACAAGCATTTAGATATGGATTAGGCATCAACAGGACCAGAGCTCTACATGGAGCTCTGCCACTTTCAGTACAGTCACGTCGCCTGTTGTTTGGCCACATAAACAGTAAGATATTACACACTCAAATTAGCTAAATGCTAATAACAGATGTGCTCATTCCAAAAGGCATAATTACTCACTCAGAAGTATCCTTCTTCTCCTCTTTATCCTCTTTATCTTGTTTACTTCCAGGCCCAGATGTCTGTACACCTTGCGAAGTGACCTCAGGCCCTCGCTTTTGCTCAGAACTATTACTGATCGAAGGAGAAATACTTGGACTATTAGGTTTGCTACTGCCACCATTAGAGTTAGTATTACTGCCAGTTTCTATGATAGACTCTTTAGGGGTTGATTCTGTCTTGTCTTTAACTACATCTCTTGATTTTTCACCTTCTCGGGTTTTGTTTAGCAGCTGATCCACTGCATCTGAAGAGGAACTCGACTGTAACTGAAAAAACCCAAGGAATATATTCAGTAAGTTGACACACAAAACCAGCGAGAGACAAGCTAATGCTATCACATACACAAAGTAAAATTCAGTCCCATCGGTCTCAACCATCTGGAAACGGCCTTTTAAAAACATACATTTCCATTTCTACTAGAAAAGAAATCTATCAACACTGACAATGTTTTAAGCCTACACTGTGAAAGAGGCTGTTCAGCAGCTCGACTGAGCTTTATGTTGATTAGGAAGTGACAGGAAAGCTTAAGACAACCCTCTGGACTCATCCCCCTGTGTGATTGAACAGTAACACTTGGAAAATCTAACTTGATTTAATAAACCATTAAAGTCAGGAAATAAGTAATATGAATTCATCTTCACTTTTCCTCAGCAAAACCCTTTATTTAATTTTGAAACAGCCCTTCCATGTGCAGTGTAAATGTGGTAATTATTTGTACCCAACGATCTAACAAGTTTCAAGTACTATTTTCAGTGTACAGTCAATATGCACGTTTACATGTATTAGGCAATTGTACTCACAAGAGTCAGCATTGATTTTCTAATATCTAGCATGAGGTCTTACGGATATCTTCATAAATGAAGCACAAGTGGTTGCTTACACATGCAGCGCATTCAATTTGTTAAAATCTGGTTAACATACAGAGAAACTTACCCTAAAGTCATTCTTAAATTTCTTTAAATCATCAATCTGTTTTCTATGTTCTGAAACAATCGGAGATACACCTGCCAAATACAAGACCAACATTGTCCAAGCATTTCTAACACAAGATTTATATACAATCCCCGCACACTAAGATTGCAAAAAGGTAACGTTTGCGTATCTAGAAATGAAATGGGGTGAGATTACTTCACTTGTAGTTTGGTAAAATTCCACGAACGACGTGAATGAGCACACAGAAACACTCTGTGAAACTACAGCATTACATAACTGACACAGCCACAGCTCTAACGCATCGCACCCCGAGGTGCAGGGACTGCAGAACTCAGCTGAGCACAGAGCAGCACGCAGCAAAACCCTCCCAAAATATCAAGACAGCGTTTCAAGACGCAGCAATTAAAGGTGAAACACTGATCGAGTTCAACAACATGAGAAAAGTGTTTTTGAGAACTGAATGAACAAGCAATGCTGCAGAGAAAGACAAATTTAAGGTGTAATAGAAAGAAGTGGAGTACAGTTATAGAAAACTGTGCTGACCACGATGCTCAGAAGTATTGTGTGCAGAGCTCTAAGCAGAAACACTCATTCAGTCCAAAGAGAGCTCAAAACCAGCTTTGTGAGCAGGAAGAAAATAAAAAAAAAAGGAAAAAAGAAAACACCAAGTAAAAAGAAGCCACACCATCCACATGAGCAGCTCCGCACTTCGTGGTGATGAAATGAGTCAAGAACAACATTTAAAATTGCAGGCCTGTCACTTCACAACTGCATTAGCAAATCTTTGCTGTAGAACACCCAAGCCAGATTGCCTCCAAGTCTTCCTTAAAAGGCTAACTAAAGCAGTTCAGTGCTTGGAATTCCTGTATTTCTCAAGTATATCATGAAGGCTTCAGATACAAACCTTTGTTTTCAGGTTTAGGAAAACTAGGAGAAGTCTCACTTGGCTTTATATTCTCCTTGTTTCCGGTTGCAGAATTTTGCCTCTGGTCCTGAAGCCTAGTATCTTTAGCTAGAAAAGAAATTATCAAAGTTTATTCTCTTATACTCAACTCCGAAAGACCAAAGAGAGGTAGCAAGACAGAAACTGAAAAGAGACTTAACCTTGTTTAGATTACAGAAGAAAAGCCTTAATTTACTTATTTTCTACTACCTAGTTAGGGCCTGGAACCTCCCTCTCCCCTTCCCCGCTCTACTGTCTGTAAGCCAAGTGAAAAAATCCCACTCAAACACATTGTTCTTAACATACACAGAGCCTTAACTAGACTGAAAAACCATAAAACAAGAGCAAATTACTTCCAATGGTCCAAGCGCTTCATGCAGAACACTACAAAGATCTGAGAGCTCTTGGACATTTGACTGTGCTTTTGAATGTGGAGGTTTTGTCTCCTTCGTTTCACCATGCTCAAAATATCTTTTGAAATCAGTGGCCTACGCTTCTTTAAATTAGAAAACAGCCAAGCACTGTGTCTGGAAAAAACCCTCCATTAAGTCAAACACCTATACTCCTTAAAGGGCAAAAGAAATGAAGCATACAGATTTATCAAAAAGCCTCTCTCCAACTTTAGTTTAAAGGTAGCATCACGAGAAAAGGGAAACTCACCATACACAGTAATAGTTAAATGCATGAGAAGTTTGCCCATCATTTAGAAAGCAGCATTGCTCTTCCACAGTCACATTTATTGTCGGGGATTAGTGAAAAGGAGCATTTGCAAGCTGTGAGGGTGACTTACCTTCACTGGAAGGGGTAACTGCTCTGTTGGAGGCAGGGCTGGCAGGGGTGGGAGAGGCAGCTGGAACAGGCATGGCCACAGACTCAGTGGGAATAGCCCCGGGCTGAGGAGAGGGCAGAGCCGGGCCCGTGGGGGTGCTGCTCTGCCGCGGAGACCTAGGCCTGTGTGTTTTGGGGGATAATCTCGGAACTAGAAACAAACAGGAAAACACAGTTATAGGATAAGCTTCCTCATCTGCTCAGCAGTTTACTTATTTTTAAAATGACTAAAAACATGCTTTAAAATACTTAGTGGAACACCGAATAACAACTGAAAACCTCTTTACCTTTCCGTTACATCTCCTAGTTCTTTACACCGCAGCGTTTCAGCCAAGCGGTGCGATCTTTCTGCAGACTGTCCCCTAATATACATCGCTGTCCTGTCATCCCACCATGAAACTGCAATAGACTCCCCAGTCCCCCCGTCGCACAAGTACAACAGCTCACATTAACACCGTTTCAGGCAGAATGGTAAAGGTGGGCAGGGTCTCCACACAAACAGATATGAAACATTTTTAAGAGGGCTGAAAAAACACATCCATTTTACAGCGTCCTCTTTTGGAGGTTTGCCAGCTGGAAAAAAAACAACATATCCTATTGAAAGAAGATTATTTTATGGCTATTCTTGCCCCTGTGTTAAAGCAGCAAGGGAAGCTGGTATATTCTTTAAATCATAAGTTGTACCTCCTGCTTCCTGCTCATCCCACTGTGGCTAGTTAGCTGCTTTACATCATACATGAACTTCAAGTGAGCGAGGAGAAAGGTGAAGTTTAACAATCCTACTTGCATGTAAATTACATATAAAGTGGGGGGTGGAGAAGGAAGATGAACCAGACATAATGCCAGAACAAAAAAAAGAGTTTAAATCTTTTCCACAAGGCAACAGCTCTGTGGGGGTCTAATGCACCCCTTCTCTCTGAGAAATGCATCCCCGCTGCTCTCCCCTCTAATTCCAGCATTTCTACAAAGTCTCAGGCTCCAAACTGTCGCTCACTAGTCCTTGGATTCAAGAAAGCACCCAGCTGCTGACAACTCACTACAACACGGTCCCAACTGCAGAAGCTCAAGCCTAGGGCCTGTGTCAAGACTGAGCTTTAAATTCAATCATCTAAAAAAAGAGATGTTAACTGATTCAAAAAAGAAGAGACACTGACTGTATCTGCTACTACAGTGCTCAAACACAAAATGATCACTTGAAACCTGCATCATTTTTAAAGGTGAAATATATCCAACTTAACTTGAGCATCACTTCATCTCCTAACGCCAACTTTCCCCCATCCAAACACCTCCTTCATTTGTAAACCACAATCCAGTTACACTGCCGCTAACTAAATTCACTGATGCAATGGAACATACATCACTTCTTTTCAGTAACTTTCCCAAAAATCCCTTCTTCCAACGACCAATTCCCACATTTTTCCTTCCTTTCTCTTCATACACCACCTGACTTCACCTCTCTGCAGTTCAGACAATATCGCACTTGAAGGACCGACTCACCAGCTATTTTCCTAAGCTATTCATGAACATCCTTCTCCCACTCCATCTCAGCAAGCTAAGTTAGCAGACCAGTGTTTATTCAAAGCCTAAATTGGCTGGAAATGCAGTATTCTGCTTAGCATTCACACTCTAAAGTACCCCTGCAAGCCATCTGCAATAAGCCAAGCTTTACCTACCCCCACTGACAACTGATGACCACGTCCCACCTGAAGGGCTGCCTCGTGCCACTGCAGTAGAAGATGCTTCCCCTGGTGCATTATGAGACACAAATTCTAAGCCACTTGAAATTGTACCCCTACCAGTAGAGACTCTGTGACCTCGAGGGTGCCGTTGTGCCTTAGGAGACATCCGTGGAGGCCCTGGAGAAAAGAAGACAACCCCACACAATAAGTACTTAACATCCATCGCTGAGAGCACCCAAACATACTGTTTGTAAAACTGGATTTAATCTGTTAACTCTCAATAATGCAGTAATACAGTCAAGCAATTCACACTGATATCGACCTGAACCAGGGATCTGAAAAGGCCAAGCCATTGGTCCAGCCAGACTACCAACACGCTCATCACCTTGCTACGATAGCTCACGCTCATTGATATTTAGAAGCCTGATCAAAATTGAAACAGGTACAAAAGTCCTGGATTTACAGTATTTAAATCCAAGCACCCAATATTGCTCACTGCAAGACAAGCCAAACAGGTTAGCAGCCCGGCTCTCTCTGGATAAGCACAGTTCCAGGCTAGCAAACATTTTCCAGAAAAGAAAACAAATTTCCACCGCTTTTGTCAGGTGCTCAGCGATACCAAACGTTTCTTTACAGAGCAGTCACCACTGGCTGACCAATGCTCTTGGGGAATTTCAGCAGAGCGCTCTGCGCTGAATGGCCCACAGCAGCTCACAATGCATTTACAAGTCAGCAAAATCACAACCGAACAAAAGTCACTGTTAGCCCAAGGTTCAAGTCATGCATGTTTAACGCCAGGAGCTGAAGTTGTACGGGAACACAGAATTCTGAGCAGCTTGCGTAGCTGCCGCAGAATAGTTACACTCAAGTCTAAGCAGCGATACGGCTTCTACATCTAACAAACATTTTCTTTGCAAGATCAGACTCAATCGTTGATATTTTTTAATGTAGGTCAATAATAGCAAAAAGTTCAGATAATGGCTTTCCAGTTTCAGATAAGTTCTAATATATCAAGTACCTCTTCCAGTTACAGAAATCTTTAAATGTCAGCCTCTGCTTTAACCTTGAACCTAAAGTACACTTCCATCCAAATTAGACACAGGCAAGTATTTCAAAGAATACACTCTTTGCAGCAATCCTCCTCTAGTAATAGAAATCACACGTTGCAGTAAGCAGCAGTTCACCGCATGCCTGACAAATCAATCACAACTCCTAAAAAATAACTGAATTTGCACGTGGGCTCTCATGTCTTGCTACACAGAAGAGCTGCTGTTGACAAACTGACAGTAGCGCACCATGCAGACTGGCCTAGCAGAGACTGCAAGTTCCCAGTGAGTTTACTAAAACCAGTTTGCATTTTTCCAGGCTTGCCAGACTGTGCCGTGCAGGGGAGTTTTTAAGTGCACTTACATCAAATAAAACTGCAAAAATTTTAAAAATTTACCCTACCCTGAGAGGACAAACAAGTTTAGTTCAGATGCTTCTGCACACAGCTACCAAAGACTCGGGGGTTGGCCCTTCTCTGCGTATTATTGGCTGTGAGGGAGCTGATTTCTTGTTCTGCCTCAATGCAAACTGATCTAAGGTCTTATACAGATCCACCTTTGAAGCAGCTTATCCTATCCCATTCTACAGTGCACTTCTCCAAGGACAGTATTTTTATTATTACTGTTGGGTTTTTATAGCTAATTCAAGGATTTAATTAAATTTGAAACTACTTTCTGTGGAACAACTGTACTAAAATATTTGATATAAATTTATTTTTTCCTAAAAATGCCCTCTAAAGTTATCAGGTCCTGCATGTTGCTGTTGGTGAAGTTAAGACACTGAGCAGCGTTTACAAAGCTGAGTTTGTTTCATCCCAATTCGGGCAATTTCACAGCTTTCCTTGGTTTTTGTAAAGCTCTTCAAATAAAAAGGTTAATAGAAATAGTCTGGTAAACTAAAGTTAAACACAAATTATAGGTTAAGTAATGAAGAGGAAAAACAACTTTGTAATTAAACTCACAAAGGAGTTAAACAAAGACAAACAAAAACATGAACAAATCGTGGTATTGTACCTTCTGAAGACATGCGTTTAGGCATAGTAGAGACAGGAGCTGGAGAACCATGAGCAGAGGGGTGAGACGGGGGCCTGGAGGGCCGCGAGGGGGGCCTGGAGGGCGGCCGTGTAGGGGTGGCTGCCCGAGGTGGAAGAGAGTTGGGACCTGACTGGTAGCGAGAAGGTGGGCGAGAGGAAGGAGATGGGCAAGGCGATGGCCAGGGAACACCTGACAGAACAAATGATATGAAGGAAAGTATAAAAACTAAAGAAAAATTATGGGGAAAAAGGTCAACAGAAAAAAAAAAGTAAAATATGACAAAATGATTTCTCATGTTTAACCCTTTGGGGACAGATTAGTTTATTTCTGCAACCAATAAAATGGTCTCTGCAAGGTTATTTCCTCTGCTCCAGGTCGAATTTCACATCTGAATGTCACAAACTCCCCAAAGGGTTAACTAGGATCTACAAATACTACTAAGGAATAGACAGCAAAGTTTGATCTGTTAGCCTATCATATATATGTTCTACATCGCTCTAGACAAGGTCCTTAAATAGCTACCAGAGGTTCTCAAACAGTGGCTCACATAAAGTATTGACTACACAAACTGCGACTTGCAAACCAAACGATGAGCAATATCAACTCTAGGAACTGCATCTTTACAAAAAACAGCGGTGTTCAGTGTCTGGAGCCTGACATCTACGCCTTTATCAGTTATCTGAAGTATTAATGTAGTATTTTAATCTAGGATATAGGGCTCACTGTTTACAAAACAAAGGAACTGAATTCACAAGCCATTCTGAATATTTTAGGTCTATGAAGTTCATTCAGCAGAGTAATAGGATGACAGAAACCACAGAACTACAAACAAATTTTAAGGTTAGCACCTTCTGGGCGAGACTCAGTTGTACATCCCTTATACAGCTGACTCTGTGTTTAAGAAGGAAGCCTCACTTACCTTTAGATGTTTCTCAGGCTTCCTCTCCAGATAGAGGCAACTTGAGTATTTTACATTTTTCATTTATTCACAGCCATCTCATGTAATAGCATTTTTAACTTAGAAAAATATATATAATGCCTCAAGGCCAGGCTACTGTTGAAATCCATCTCAGGAAATGGTGTTTGGTTTATGACACACCGATTCCTGCTATCCACTGCCCAGCGATGTCTGTTCATCAATGTTACCCATGCGTATAGCAGAAAATACTCAAATCGCTATTTGGAGAGAAGGCTTTCGATTCCTTTTCCCCTAACACTTCTCTTACTTTCCCAACAATGATTTTTTTTTCGCCACATCATCGTAAAGTCAGCGAGTTGCTTTATTCTTTTTAATGAGAAACAGATTTGGTCCGTGCACCAGGAAGGAAGAGCGCTGCTTTCTCAGCTGCACCTCCCTCTCACTAGGTGTCAGCATTGCTGCTCCTCCACGCAGAGCTCAGCAGGAGTAATGCACACAGCGATTTTTAATCTTTAAACTGCATACTCCACCATCATCTAAGACAAAGGTGCTGGAGAAGGAAAACAAGTGACGTTCCTGCTCCACAAAGCTACATCCAGTGCAGCCACATGCGTGTTATGAGTTAAACCCAAATCAAAATCACCTCTGTGTTAAATGATGAATGCTAAGCTTGCTTATGAAATGCATATCCTAAGACCACATCATGTGCAGTTTCAACATAATTAGAGAATTGCAGTTTTGTAAGGCACGTTCGTTTAGACTTCAGATACTTGCCTCCGTTAACTACTCTTTGATCCGCTCCAGAGTTAGGGCTGAATTCGGAAGTATGGGATCCAGATCTCGAAATTGGGGGGCCTGATCCGGACTGGCCCATCCTCGGTGAGTTTTGTCTGCCACTTCCCCAGGACAGGACATCTCTATTCCTCTGTCCAGGCGGAATGTATTTATTTTCTCTGAAACACAGCAAATTTCTATCAGTGTTAAGGCAGAACTGAAAGACAATGAAAAGTACCTGACCACATGTGGCTGATACTTTCTATCTTTCTCAAATCAAGCTAAAGGAAAATTCAAAATACTATCAGATGTTGACCTAACATTCACCTCATGAACTGGCTTTTGATACTGACCACAGAGTCTACTTTCTATGGGCCCACAGACACTGAACAATTTAATACTAATGCCTGATATTTAATACCACTGCCCTTTCTTGTAATTTGGGCTGAATTCACCACAGGGGCTGTTTCAGGGGAAGGCTGCCTCACTACAGAGATAATACAGGGCCAGGCAGAGGTGTACGAGTTTGCACGAGTGCCAAACCGAGCACACGATTGCTTACACAAGGTTCCTCACCTCTTCAGCCCTGCTGGAAAAGCACAGTTTCAATGAGTAAATCGCTACTGTACCAAAATACCTACATCATTTTAATAAAAATATTCTTCACAGCATAAGCAAGTACCTAGTGTTCACACCATGTCCTTCTCGTTCATTAGCATTTCTCTGAACAGCAGTATATTTTTCTTCTTCTGTTCTTTCATCATTTTCCAAGGCAACCCGAGCTTTGTATTGGGCACTTGATTCAATTTCCTCTGCTAATTGAGTTGCTCTGGCTTCCCGTTTTAAAAACTCTTCTGAATTATCTCTTTCTAATGGCACCCTAAAAGACAAAGGAAAGGCAAAGAATCTCTGAAATGCATCCAAAAGCATAAAGGAGCTACAAAAAATTACACAGCGTTAATTCTAACCAAGTCAGAGTAAGGAAAAAAACCCTCGCTTTTAAGCTAGCAAGACTTGTTGTCTTTTTTTAGTATGTTCATATTCCTGGATTGGTTTGACGTTACGTGACATTATAGGACTTGCAAAATCCCAGTCCCTGAAGCTATGCAAGCTATCCAACTTTTAATACGGTTGGGTACATTAGCAACAAAAAGCCATCGTCTGTTGTTCAGATAGGAGGCTGCTGTAAGACACCAAATTTGAATTTCTTCAGCTATTTTCACATTCCTAATATATACAAGAGGCCTACTGCAATTAGAGTTACATGCTTAATCCTTTGATAACTGCAGCCATAGAATTGCGAATAACTGCAGAAAAGATGAATGCAATACATTAGAGCACAAGACCAGAAAGCCATGACTCATTTGCCACGGCCTAGGACCTCAAAACCATTCATCCTGGGTATCTATATTAGGCAATATATCACAAAAAGCATACGCAGCTCCCTTAGGAAAGTCACCGAGTAAGCATTTAATACGTGAGCAATGAAATTCTGAGAGAGTCAACTAGAGATGGACACTGTATCTGGCACATCCTTCTGCCCACCTATGGCTTTCATTTTTACCTGTTCTAATTTCTGTTAAGTATCTGGTTTTATAAAACAACTTTGCGCTTTGTCTTTAATTCTAATTCTGAACTCCAAAAGTTGTTTCATCCAACCTTGCTTTTAGAGTAAGCTACATAAAAAAACCGAACGCAGTTGAGGCTTGGACCATGCTACGCTGGGCACTGTATCATCACTACTGCACGTATTTTGAATAATATAAAAAAAGAACAAAGAAAGTAGGTGGAGATACAAGCCAAGCATGAAATAACATATGCAAGATTACTCAAGTGTTGGTGGCAGAACTAGGAAAACAAGCGGCTTTGCCAAATTCCAAGCCAGCATTTAGCTACTGCATCACAAGTTTTCCCTGTACACCCATTTCTGACCAGCTGGGACATCTACTGGGCCTTGTCAACGGTAACTGCAAGAATATTAAAGAAAAACCTTACCCTTCAGTGCAAAGCTTTGGCTCAAGAAAGATGTGCATGAACACAGTGCATATAAACCTGAGCGTACAGACAGGAGAGAACAGCAAACCGACGGCTGCTCGTCACTTATTTGGAGCATCAAAAAAAGGGCTCCCCAGTTTGGCTCAACTGGGAAACACTGGAATTTGGCAATTTAAAGCCACCTTCATGTTTTTAATCTGTTTCCATCAATATCCATAAAGCAGAAAGATGGAAGATGAAAGTTCAAAAGTACAAAAAGTACTTAGAGCAGTGAAGTATACGAAAGAACAGCTTCCCCGGATTCAAGTGTAAGCCGATTAAGACGCTTTGATTATCACCGTGTTACAGGTCTATTTTAACAAAATGGCAAAAAGGAAATTGTTGAACCAGAGACCTGTAGTTGAGTGCTCCCATTCTGCACACAGGAATCAATACATGCACTGCCATTCCTCAACGTTCAAAAATAAGTTTATGCTTGGGGAGGTTAAAAGAGTGGGAAGACATTAAATAAAGACATTTCACAATGGCTGCTGCACATCTGCAATCGATTTGTTTTGCAGTTGCAGTTAACGTTATAGCTGCAGACCACTGGGAACAGGTCTGCGCTGCCAAAGCAGCCAGAGCAGGCTTTATACTACTTCTATATCCAAGTTGTTGTTATATTGTAACTAAAACTTCAGCTTAGATCTGGCCAAGTCTGCTAAACCAGTCATCCACAGCACACAAACCTTTCAACATTCCAGCATCTACCAGATCAACTGTCTCAATAAAATCAGGATTCAGTCAAACTGTTCTGCTGGGTTAAACACAAACTGTAGGTATAGCAGCTATGCAAAGACAGTTTCACAATTTGGTATTTTTCACCCTATTCATAAAAGGTTTTTGTAAGAAATAAGCATTATAGCACGGCTAAATTCAGGAAATGTTGCAATGGGGATGAACCGTGCCCATTTAAGGGAATATATAATGATTAGCACATCTAACAACTCACAGAACGCTGGCAAGGTTTCTTAATCACTATTCATTCATCGCTTTTTCAGTTACTCAATTCCACAGCTTTAGCAAGTACGTAAAATTATCTTCAGAATATAAAGTTTGTCAAACCAGGGACAACATTAAATACAAATCTAGTAACAAAATATTTTGGAACTTACGTATAAGAAGATAAACTGCTGTCATAAGTTGATACTACACCATAATTTTCTTCATTGTAACGAAACATGTCATTGGGATCCCATCCATTAGACTAGAAGAAAACGATGCTCATTTTTCAAAATGACACTGGAAACACATTCCCTTAAAATTAAGGGCTGCTGGCAGAAGTTAAACCTTCTGCCCTTTTTCCTGGGCCTACAAATTCACTGTCCAGATAACAAAGTTACTGAAGTCACAATTTAATTCAGGGAACTTTGTCCATCAGATGCATAGATTTTACCTTCAAAAGCCTTTTTTGTTTGTTTGTTCTGTGTATTTGTGTTGTTTCTATGAGGTTTTTTTAGAGTACCATGCCCACTACAAGTACTGAAACTTCTTAAATGCGCTACTAATGCAACTATCTGAGACAGACACAGCGCAGGAGAAGATCCCCGTTGATCTGCACAACTTCTTCACTGTAGTACAACTGCTATTAGAGCACTTAAGCACAACGATAAATGTTTTGAATGCTTTATAAAAGCACTGACAGTGTGAAGTATTGGAATAAATCTCGGCTGTACAGTATGTACACTAGAATTGACAGGATAACTGTTCTACCCAGACAGAGTTAATATGCTCCACAGTAACACGACGAGATTCTCCTCTGATCAGTAACATTATCCTCTTTTTTTAACATATTGCAGTCTGAATGCCTTACTAAGAAGAATCCATGGTTGAGTAAAAGCTGACTGCTATGATATATAAAGAAATGCCATTTGAGAGCATACTCTTCATCTAACGATCCGTAATCTATTGAGATCGTATCTGTGCTTATTAAGTCATGGGTCAGGCTCCCATCAATTCCCTTAATCTTAGCTCAGAGACAGTTAGCTAAGCACAATTTTGCCATAATTTCCAAATGCAATGATCAGACAGGAACACTCTGATTAAACATAAATCACTGCAGTGCATTGCTGAATGTGGAGTCCTTAAGAGCTCCTCTTTCAGCCAGTCCATGAGTCAAACACGGCCCTTACCACAGCAGCTGCCATTTGTCAATATTTGCCAAAAGTGGCATTTGAAATCCAGCTTTTCTTATTCAAATTGTTCAAAAGCACTGCGGCAGCTGCTAACAAAGCCTCAACATATACCCATATAGTGCAGGCCAGCAATTTCATTCAGAAGTTCAGTACTAGATTAAAATTAAGGAATTGTTGCAAGGCATGTCCAGAGAAATCGCTAATTTGCCACACACTGCCATAAATGATCAAAAAGCGTTACTTACAACATCTGTCTCTAATGCCTCAAGCTCCTCAGAAGCGGTGGTCTCTCCTCCATCCCACGGTTCAAGATCCTTTTCCTTGTGTTCTCCATTTACTTTAGCACTGATGGCTGAGTCAGTAAAAGCATCTACAACGGAGTGGGGAGGGATGAGGAGGAAAACAGTTTGGTTAAGCACAGGCAGACACTGCACACACTGGTTTATTTAGGAACACCCAAACACAGCTGCATCACAGCCACATTAAACACCATTCACCTTCTCTTGTAGCTGCTGTATTCAATAGGGCTACATTAGAAAGGTGCCCACTTCATACTTTCAATAACTACGAAAGTACAGACTAACTTCTAATACATCTAAGAACATAAGTAATTACTTGCAGTTATTTAAAAACATTTTATACAAACTACATGCACGATTTTGCTAGAAAATAAAGACAGACTACCTGAGGATCCCCGTTCAAATCTCTAGAAAGCTCAAGGCTCGTATAACACACTTTTCCAAACTGCCCGCACAACTGCACAGTAACATATTATGCAAATTTTAAAAAAGCACAAATGCAACCCAATCCCATGCCCTAAATGGGCAAAACACACGCTTCCCCTCAAATACCGGAGTTCCTTCTATTTGCACAACTCCTCAACACACCAGCATGCACGTAACACACTTGTATTCCCTTTATTAGCGTGGTACACCCGTTCACCGTGACAGGAAAGGAGGGCCCCTCTCCTGCAAGAGCTTTTTCAAGCAGCAGCTCACCCAAACCACACAGCGAGATTCACAGACTCTCTACCCCTTATTCTCAACAAGATATGAAGATAAACATAGCATTAGGTGCACTAAGCAGTAAGGGTCTGCTATTGTTTATCGAAATGATAAAAACATATATATAAAAAATAAAGATCATAAGCATTTATTTTCACTTTTTCATGTATCATTCAACCCAGAGTTAAGAAGGAATAATCCTACAGTATTAAAGTGCTGGGGAAAAAATGGTACAAAACCATTCACCAAGGAAGCCAAGCTTTTGTATTTGTAAGTAACTAAATCTCAGAGCTGCCTACAAATTCTTAAATTTCTTACACAGAAGGAACTTGAAAAACTAAAATAAGCTTGATATAAGCTTATAAATAAATAAATAAGCTTTCAGTCTAGAATTTCCTATTATCATCCTACTGCTAGACTAAGGAGCAAACATTTCAGACCTTTAGAAAAGATGAGATCAACCACCAGGCAGTGCCACATATGGAGGGATGCGGCTGAAATTAAATTTCGGCAGCATCTGAAATCTAACTAAGAAAAATGAACTTTAAAGCCATCATGTAGAGAATTCACAACATATGAAGCTGGCCACTGATGTTACAGCTTTTAAACAATCACTGAAGATTTTTTTAAAGAGGCATTGCTGACATAGCTTCTTATTCCTGTTTTATCCAATTCCACTGTGAAATTCTGCACGTCTACTGGTACGATCCGTTATAAAAGTTAACTGTGCTTAGTCTGTCTAATGACATTCAGCACTATCTCATGAAACGCTTGCTCAACTCACACACAAAGCCCAAAGGATCTATGGGTAAGCAATTAAGCTTTGTTAATAAGCTTCTACGAAACAAAACATTACAGAAGATTTACGAGAAATAAGGGAAGTTGATTAGCTAAACATTCATTTCAAATACAAAAGAATCAGTAACACAATTTTTTTTTTAAAAAGCCCAGTGAAAGACACCTGAGGCCCAGGGACACCACAGTCAGGGCTCCTGTGAAACCCGCACCCATCACCCTGGGAGATGTTGGAGGATCCCAACCACAGCGGTTAACGCTTTCAATTGAGATTGTGTTTTATTTTTTGTTGCTTAATGCGGTGCCTTTCGTAGGCACGTTCTGGGATTGTTTGTAAACTGTTCAGAATAAGTAAAAATCAAGGGTGAGAACAGAAGCCACCAGCTAACTGCAAGGTACTCTAATGATTGTGTGAAGTTACGCATGCATGTTTTATAGCGCCAGAAATGTGCGAGCAAAGATATTAAGTTTCCATTATATATTATGGTAACAAAAGCATTATGAAAGGCAAGATGCAGAGACACAGAGCGACTGCCAAAAAAGTTACCTGTTTCTGAAGGAACTACAACAGATATGGAGAGAAAAAAAAACGGGAATACATCAGATAGAAATACAGGTGGGATCTTTTCACATTACATGGCTGAATTGAGGCAAAGCTAACCTCTTTCAGACCCTCTCACAGACACATTAAACTGATGATTATATATCTCCCACCTTGCAAAGATCATTTCCATCGGAAAACCCTCAGCAATGCTCCCACCTATTTACAGCCCCATCTGATTTTCCCATTTTGCTTCATAAAAAACACCCCACCAAACAGCCTACAGATTTTAAGGCATACCAGCTTGAAAGAAAACATCTTTCCATTTCCCTTCACACAAATAACTTTTAAAATATACTTTGTTAGGAGATATGTTTAAATGTCATCTGAAAGTACATAGTAACTACCTCAAATCCACAGTTAAGTAGTAACTACAGAGCACAGTTAACAGGGACGGAAAAGGAAGGCTCTTGTATTTGGAAACTCGGTGTTTACCTTATCAATACTCCCCAGCTAACACTGCCAAAACCCAGACAGACCAGTGCTGCTTCTGTGCTGAACATCAGTAATTTCATGTTTGATCCTCTCAGGTTGGGCATTTTACATCAAATGCAAGTTGGAGGCTGCTATGTCACTTAAAAATGTGCCATTTGTTTCTACACTACTTCACTGGGAGCACAGGGAACTCTTCTCCAATGAGAATGGATAAATAAGAGTGAGGAGGACTGGTGACAGCACCTGGTGGAGGTAATCTCCTGTACTGCAGAAGGGTGTTTCCTTAATTCCTATTCAGTTACTTCAGCCAAACTCCATACACAGCTGTGCCATCGTGGATGTGAATAAAATACTAGTTTAACAAGGCTCATCTACTCTAACTACTAATTTTCTTATTTAAGAAGCCACATAAACATTCAGCAGAGTGATCTTAAAAATTGTAATGATACAGATGAACTGAGGAGGAAAAAAAAAGACAAACCAAAACCTCCACTATCTAACAAATGCTACAGAGCTGAGTAAGATGTGCCATCAGTGCCAAGCTGCCCAGTAAAATCCAGTGTATCATGGGGCACAGAGAGCTTCGCTGCTCTTCATTTCTCTCTCGTTTTAGAATGAAAGTCACAAGTGAGGCTGCAACAACAGTTTACCCTCTACAATTCAAAGCAAATCCAGAGTTAGGAGGAATTCAAGCTACAAAGGCAGATTTCCAGTCAGAAAATACAGTCTCAAGAGCATCCAGACAAAGTGTAAATGCAGCAGAATGGCACCTCAAGGCACAGATCGGGATTTTCCTGGAACAAACAGCGAGGCAGCCACTTGGGACACCAAGATTAAAAATGCAGCAAGTCAAACAAGACTTTACCAGAATTAACGAGCAAAAAAATTGAGAACATAGGTAAAAAAAAGAATTCTACAAATAACTGTTTCCAAAACAAAAATACTGCTCCTAACACTACTAGTAAAGTCGAAGTAAATTCTGCTACGTGTGCCAACTGGCAGAGCAATAACAGGCAAGATAGCGACTGCACAGGCGCAGCCTCCCCCTTATCTGGTGCCTCATTTTCTGAGCTGCTGAATGAGCAATTCACATGACACCTTGACAAGGCCAAATTTTCCATCAATTCCTTTTCTGGATGGCAAAACCAAGTTAAAGATCAAATGAAAACTGGTCAAACACTTGAGCTGTAACACTCAATGAGCCTCCACTGCCTCTGTACCTGCTTCATGTGACATTTCCTCTGCAAAGGAGTTTGATGTCAAAGACCTCGCTGCTTTCTCAAAGCCTGCTAACTGGGAAAAAATCATCCCAAGGACAACTCTACGCAACAGAAATTCACATTAAATAAAGGCAAATTAAATACACACATTTTGGAGAAAAACTCAGCTTGGGAAAATTCTGCAAGTAGATGCTAACAAATGAGTTAAAGAAAAAATTGCCAGAATAGAGCAATTAAGAGTCTGGGCTTAATTAATTTCAGTGTTTAACATGCTTGTTTACGCAAACATGTTTTGTGCTAATGGTGAAAAGCACAAACAGGGATTAAGTGCACTTCTGCATTTCAAATGCTATTGAAACGATGGGCACTACGTGCCAGAGGTGTTCCTGCTGCACGCTGCAAGCTCTGATGAAGTTTAACACGGCCCAAAGTAAACCCAGGTTTCATCTTAAAGATCTCAACAGTAAACTCGCATTTATTTTGTAACCACTTACTACTGATTCGAAACATTAAAACCAGTTAGCACCAGCTCTGCAGAGCCAACGTTTCCTTCCTTTGTTCTTCATATGCCTACTGCTATTCCCCTTGCAACACATTCTCTGGAAGGATGCCACTTGCAGTGCTAATTCAAGGAAAAACTGCAACAGCCAATTCTCTTCTGCCTTTCTTCATTGGACTTGTAATATTTTTCTTGGGGTGCAGTAACAGCACCAAAAAACCCAATTAAACCATTGTAGAAGCCTTTTACTTTACCAGTAGTTATGATGCTGAGTTGTTTTTAAAGAGAAGGCAAGAAAGCAACTCTAAAGCCTTACTCAAATTTGAATCATGCAAACCAGCGCTGTCAACTGATCAGAGCTTAGGACTACAGGAAACACTGCTGGTAGCTTGTTCTGTAAAACACGGGAGAAATAAAACAGCCTCCTATTTCAGTCCTGAAATACAACCTCCTATTCCAATCCTGAGCACCTACAAGATCTAGGCTCTTCACCTTTGCCTCAGGACTTGAAGTAGAAATATGTTACACGCTTACAAAGATTTCAACTTGCACATCAGCACAGATTTTCAGCAGTGGATTTGCACCGCCACGTGCAGAAGACAGTGCTTGTTCCTCTTTCAATAGTCTGAAGGGGCAATGATGGGTATAAACTGATTTCACCTCAGTTTTCCAATATATGTTTCATTCATCAGCCTGCCTGTACTGCAGAAACTCCACAATGAGAAACCCTCAGGTGACTCTCTTCCTTTCCCTCTGAACCCTAACAGGAACCCACACGAGCACAAAGGTCTATGCAGACCAACAGAGCTGCAAATAAAGAGCCCAGGAAGTAGAGACACATTTATTTTTCTTTCAACATAAACTGTTAGCACATCTCCATCTAGGCAGACCTACTCTTTTTCTCCCAATCTTTCCAATTTCTGCAATCTGGGCAGGCACCACACTCTCTGCACCTTTGGACATGCCAGTGGAATGTCACGCTTGACACAAGCAGACCTAAGCCTGCTGCGTCCAAATGGGGTGGTTTCACCCACCCCAAGCCCGTGCTGTCGTCACCTCCCCTGCACTCTTGCTGCAGATGTGGCTGCAGGGTGAATTATCAGCTCGCTGCTCCAAAGCTGCACAAGCACGATAGCAACGCAAGGTGCCTGGGAGACTATTTCAGACGGTTCGTTCAGAAGCAACTCTTATTTTCCACTCTTCTGAAAGGAGAATCCGTCCCTTTCCCCTTCTCCCCACCTGCTGCTCTTTTCCAGTGCTCTTCCAGTCCCTTCTGTCTGTCTTGGTGGGACAGGCAGACGAGGCAGCGAACACCTCTGCTGTTCAAGTCTGGTCAGTCACTCTGTCTGCTCCCTACTTATACTGAAACAGGATGCGCTATAATTTCCAGAACTATCTCTTTTGCAGAAGTTACGTTTACTTTAAGGCCTCCTCACAAGTCTAGTGGTCTCTTAAGGTGCAGGAGGAAACTGCACAGACCCCACCAAACCCGACTCTAGGTCAGCCTCTCCTATGGCAACAGAGTGCTTAAGTGCCCTTTTGTTTGACCGCATTTCTAGAGAAGTGAGAGCAAGGCGCCTTTCCAATCAAATATGTCCAAATTGTCTACTAACTTGTCTGTGAAAGCCAGAAAACATCAAGGACCAGGCAATTTTAAAATATCTGTTCCTGGGTAAGTGCAGTACTGTCAAACTGGGCAGCATTCCCAGTACAAACCACCTCCTCACCTAGGAGTCCAGACACAGTTTTACTGTGGATCACACAGCCTTATCTGACTCAGTACCAAGAAGGGTTTACTTCCAAGAACAAAAGGCCTGCAGCTCCTACATGCACATTCACACACTTCCGTTCTTTGGAATCCTTGCTTATTTAATTTCCCAAGAAGCAGAAAGCCCTTCATTGCTCTAATTCGCAGGTGTGATCAGAGCCTGACTTACACTTTCAAGTGTCATTTCAAGATAATACGTTTTTGAGACAAAACAGAAAGCAGATTAATTTACCCACTACAAGTTATCGAGTTTTGCAGCCTTCCAGCTTATCTCACTCCAAGTCTCTACAGCTTTATTTCAGCTCTCCTCTCCAGCTACTTAAGAGATTTAAAGACATTCTACCCAATAAGGTGAACTGAGCGACTGTTCAACCCAAAACAGTCCTTTTCTTCTGAAAAACTTGCGCCGAGTGTAACTATTCCTAGAAGTAACAGTAGTATGTTCTTTCTTTCATCTGCCCAAGATCTATAAAGATTGGGTAACGGAGAGCCCAGTTTGTGTTTACATTAAAGCGATGTTCATAGCAGACCTATTCTGAAACAGCCCTCGTGTAATATAAATTCAAAGTCCCATCCAGAACCTGGAGCTTATCTGCATTTCAATGCTACATTTGCTCTGACATTATGCACCTTCTTCTGGGAAAAACAAATTCCTTGAAACAACAAGCCTCTCATTCTTCAGCTTGAAATCAGGCAAGAACACACGCACGTAGAGACCCAAGGCGAAGAGAGAAAGATCTCATTAAATGTCGCCAGTCCCTACGCATCTCAAAGTCACTGCTACAGGGGAATAAAGCACGTGCGATACAATAACCACCTGGCTCCCAGTGGTAGTTGTTGATCAACCCGAAAATGCACACACACACAGTTTCGCTACGTGGCACAAAAAGTATCTGCTTTTATTCCTCAGCCCAGCAAATCAGGAACATCAGCACAAAAACACTTGAGATTTGCTGCCCCCACAAAAAAAAAACCCTGCAAAGGAACTAGAGCTGTCTGATGAGCCTCTTCAGTTCCAGGAAAACAATGAGGGTCTTGGAAGTGAGACATTAAAAGTATGAACACTGCCTGTAAAACCACCTAATACTGACAGTTTCCATCCACATCTTCAAGATTTTAAGATCACTTGCCTGCCACCTCACTAGATTCGTCTGTACTTTGGAGAACCCTAACTACAGATCTACAAGGAGTAAAGCAGAAATTAAAAACACAAAGAGTGGATTTCCCTCAAGAACTTTTAGCTCCATTTGCAATAGTATTTTAAGGACATATCTATGAATGCATGTTTAGAGACAAAAGTTACTTAACTAAATATAGATTTTATATATCCACCAACTCTGAACAATGTCTTTATAAAGAATTTGTGTATTCATGGTTTCTCCTATAACACTTAAGAGACTAATTTAGAAAGACATTTACAAAAAAAACCCCAGTGTCCCATAAAATCGGTAAAATGTTTTGTAGCACCACTAAGGATTTGCTTTCCAGACACCAAAACCAGCTGCTCAAAGCAGTGCATCCCCACAAAGGTTCTGCAACCCCTTTCAAAGATTTTGATAAATTTCTGATTGTGCGAGGCAATGAACTTCTGCTCTTTCCATTGATTTTAATGAGTTATTTGGATGTTCTGAACTCATTAAGAGTCTAAATGTGAACTTTGGATCCTGAAGCATCTACTTTGAAGAAACCTGACCTATTATCTGAAGATACACACAACTTTTAGAAACAAGTATACCTCTTCTTGCGTAATTGGTATCCATATCCTTAAAATGCACCATAACAAAGTCTGAAGACTTGAACAAGATACTCTCCAGTATGTCTTCACGTTTTGGCCCCAGACTGGATTCTGCAGTTTTCCGATGAGCAGCATCAAGCACTAAATCACACTATTAGAGACATAAAAAGAACACATTAACTTAATGCACACTAAGCTACTCGATAGCTTCACACATTGGCAAAAACCAGACATTTACAGTAGTTTGCAAAAGGGAATCTACTTGTGTAAACCTAGACACGGTCAAAAGAAATCATAATAAATATTCCCATTTTAATCAAACACTAATTATTCAGTATCAGGATACTTTAAAATAGGGAAGAGTCAAAATGAAAAAAATTACCTTAGGACTGTAGGTTTTAAAAACTCCTTCATATATACCACCATTTTTCACCTGTACTTCACATTTGGATCCCTAGAAGGCAAGAAAAATGAAAACGCAGCTTTCTACCAGACTGATAAATGACATTTGAGTGATTTTCTCAGAGGTGTATTTTTTACATCGGTACAATGTGTAAAAATACAGCTCCTCATTCAACATTTGCCCATTTATAAACGCGCCATGTGCATACGGCTGGGTGTGTACCAAAATGTGCTCTGAAGGGATTTAAAGATACTCACAGGAGCGTATTTGGTACTCACAAGACTCCTGACCAGTTATGCACACACACAAGTTTTTGTGCATAACAAAATCTGTGCGTACATATGGGTACAAATAAGGACGAAGGCCTATCCTGGGACTGTCAGCTTTACTCGATTTTAGCACGTCAAGGATTCTCTTAAAATCTGGGGAGAAAGGCTGCCTTTCCCTGCATTGATTTTATTTATCCATAACCTCTCTAAAGACAGAAAAATCTAACTATGACCAGCACACCTAAGAAATTTGCTATAGGTCTGCAAATTGTATTTGAACCTTCCCAAGCCAAAAATAGAAAAGAGCCATTCCTGTGTTTCTTTAAAGTTCAATCTTGGCAAAAGATGCCTACTGGTAAAGTTTAATATTGGCTCCATTATGTTACAATTAGTGGACCAGTTAACAATTCTATGGCACTACAGAAATTGTTAACCCGCTTCCAAACACGAAGACTTACAACAACTGAAGTAAGTATGTGAACCATTCTCATGTTTGCATAGATGCCATCAAAAGAAATCTGAAAAATAAAAGAAACGTTGTCATGAATACAGGAGAAACAGTTGTAACAATTCAAAAAGCCAGTGTGCCAAAAATAATGCAGGCTTTGATCAGTACATACTAGTTCCTAGAAACATCGGTCCAAAACCTTACGCAGTCAAAATACACAGAACTTAGGCCACGTGAGATTTTCAGAGGACCCTTACTCCTTTTTCTGATTAATTAAAGATCTGAACACCCTTCCAGAACAAGATAGGCATTACAGAGCCCCCTAATGTCACTCACTAAGGACATTCATTTGCTGGTTGGGTGAAGCTCATACGCAGACTCCTAACCAAAAAAGCCCTGCTAACATCTGCTCTGGTTTAAGAGCCATCACAGGACAAGGCACTTCAGCTGCTGGAGAAGTAAGAA